CAGTATCTCTCCCCCGTTGGCCTCTAGCCTCTTCCATTTCTTTGTCCGTGAGGTCTCCTCGCATGCGCCTTATGCTCATACAATGCTCAGTTTAAAGTGCGAGAGAGAGGGCAGTTGGGCGTGGGGGGAGGCATTTTGCAATTTGCTACTTCCCATCAAAGTGTCGACCCATGAGTGCTACTTCATGAGCCCAAAGAGTTGACAGCCTTTACCATGGTGGCTCAAGGAGCTTGCTCCAGCTTAGCACGAATTAGCTGGCTTCATCGCAATGGGACTAGTAACCCTAGTGAAGCAGTAAGGGTGCCAAATGCACCCGCCTCCTTGCCGGACTGCGCCAAGATCTTTAGTGGGTTTCCTGCTTCTTTACTGCTTTCTTCAAGGGGAGTCATGCTCATAGAAAGTTGCTCTCACATCCTACCATTGTTCTGAGGCGCATTTGTCGCCCTCTAAAAGCTCGATCGCTGTCGGTTTGCAATGAGTGTAGAGCACTGCTTCCCAGTCGCGGCATCGCAGGGCGAGTTGACTTGGGATAAAGCGCAAGAGAGCGGACAGGGCGCCCGCGCCTCTCAGCATGGCACCGGCGCTAGAAAGCTCCACACCCAGTTAGTGCTCATTCAAAATGTCCAAAATTACCTGCACCGCTCCATATCCGTAGTACTGAAGAAAGTTTTCGCATTCAGCAGCAATATCCAGCCATTTCCATTCCAGCAAATGAACCATTGTTTGGCGGTTTTCTAACGTTTGAGGCTTGTCATACCTAGAAACGAATGGGTCTTCCATCACTACCACGAAGGATGTGCTGCAGAGATCCACGTTGGGGTGACGCCCGGAATTAGCGCAGAATTTCGTTGGTTCGACATTCGCTCTTCATACCGCGTAAAATCAATTGTGCCGTGGAGCGAATGTCGCGCACATGACGCTATTTATAATCATCTCTCGCCGTATAGCCCCAAGCGGATCTCCGCACTGCAGTCATAGGAAGATATTCAACTCAAGGCCATCATCTGCCTTTCCTTTCAGTGGCATAGACGTAGAATAAGCGAGATAGTTACTAGTACTGGTTTGAGACCGCTTCTCCCACAGGGTAGAGCGAAGTTAAGAGGATCTTTTGAGGGGGGGAGCACACTTGTATTTGGCCAGTGAGTTTCTTCCATGGTTCTGAGAGGAATTTCTATTTTCTGTTGACTTTTTCCCCCTCAAAAGTGTTGCCCTCTCCATAAAGCTATCAGAAGGGCCTCTAAACCCCGCTTTTGCCCACCTTTCCCTAAAAAATAGTGGCGCCGTGGAACCGCACAACTACTACTTCTGATATGTTGATTACCCTGACCTACCTCAGCCCTACTTCTACCATCCTTCAGCACTCTCCAGCCCTTCCACGCCGGTTTCTAGGATGAATTCGGAAATTTTCCTGGAAAAATGGGAGCATTGCTAACGAGCTGGAGAATGCCCAAAGACGGTAGAAGTAGGGCGAGAAGTCTGGCGCAGTTCTACGAGGGGGCATTTTGCACTATCATTGCTTCCTTGGTTCCGGTTTACAAGTCTCACTCTGGCGAAACCTGTGAACTCTTGTGAAGCTGGAGCAAGGTCGTCAAGCCATCATGTTAAAACCTGTCAACTCGAGAAGAGGCTGTCTAGATAGGTCGACACGTCGATGGGAAGTAGCAAAAGTGCAAAATGCCCCTCCCTTTGCCGAGCTGTGCCGGAAAGTCTTACTGGAACTGGGTGCGCGCTCACTGGCACGTCCATTTCACCAATCCCATTGCTGCACCCTTCTCTCTCATAAAGAAATTCCAACTCACATATAAACGTTTCGGTATCCATCAACTGTGGAGAGTGCCGCAGTGTACAGAAACACCAGAGCCATGATATCCATCGCTTCACTAGACGTTTACCAGGATTCGCAGGATTCCTGAAGAATTACGGTCGAGACAGTCACAGCAATAGAAGTAGCGAAACATTTAGTAAACATTTTAGCAGTTAAAGAAATGGGCCGGGATGGTTCATAAAAAAGCTGAAGATCGTTTGGGAAGAGTAGTGTGGTCCACAATGGGCAACCTCAAGCCAGTTTCGCGGCAGAAACTTCTCAGGTAAAGCAATTCAAGGAGTTGGGGTCAAAGTGCTTCAGCGACACCTCCTTTCCAGTGACTCCGCCTCCAGACCCCATGGACAAGCCTTATGGTGACCCCTTACAACTCAGCGTAAGAGTCGAATGCATGGCGCCCACTCAACGAAAAGATGCACCCTGAAGGCATACTGGCGTTTCCAAGTGAGTTTCGTAGCGATGGCACAGAAGAAATCGACATTTCAGGTCCAACATTTTGCACAAACCCATCTAACGAAAAGAAACCTATCTAAAAGATGTTTCGAACTAACCGGTCTTCGAAAAAATGTGTAAGAGAATGGAGTAGCGCTGGAAAACGCAAAAATATTGTGCTATCCAAAATGTTTTTGTTTATGCGAAAGATTGCGTACTGGGAAAGTTACGGTCGTTCAACGCATAAAAGCTCGCATGTGTTTTTCATCATCCCATCGGAAATCATGAAGGCATCAAGCCGGTAAATCAAGTTTTCTGATTTGAATTGATCAGAATGCTACTAGTTTAACACATTGCGTACCGCGTGCTGCACATGGTGAAGCACTCTTGGTTTGAACTCATTTAGCATTGTTAGATGACTGGAAAGAGTCGGTATATTCCTGAAGTCGTCTGGGACAAAATATGTGTGGGGGAAATTGCGAAGATTGAATAATAGCTAGTTGCTGGCATTTTTCGAGTAATACCTCAACTATTACATTTTTTAATTAACTCTCCTTTACCAATAAAACCGAAATCCTGCTTAGTACACGACTGAAAAATTGTAAAATGGTGTGAGTGAACAGCTTCTAAGCACACTGCGTCACTTTTTTAACTCTCTTAATTTATCAAGCTTTTTTGGCTAGTTTCGCATTTTTCGGCTTTACACTTTTATCACGTAACAATATTGAATCCCTTTAGCATACGTATACTTATAAAAGTGATGCATAATACGATGTGTGTGCAATATTTTTATGTTATATGTATAAGATAAAAATCTTATGTTTTTATACTCAGCGCGCCAGAAATCGCGTCGCGCAAATACACTGCGGTACGCAATGGGTTAATAGGTACTGGAAGGC